GCTTTTCTTTTTTTTTAAAAAAAAAAGATGTTAGCAAGCACATATATGGACCAAAGTGATCTTATCGTTTATATCGACAATTCTGTCAAAAGAGCACTTTTGGCTACAATGGCATGGATAGAAGATTACCCTCCCCCAACCCTCTACAATCAATGGTTGTTCTCCAGGACCTAGTCTACCTCATTTCCCTGGGATTTTGCTGCTGTTTCCATAGAGCAAGCATATATTGGATCCATCCCCAAGTAATTTCCACAAGGTTGTTTTGCACAGCTTGGCTTGGTTCAGATCAAGGGGGAGCAGGGCTACACTCCTGCTGGCCATCTCTGCTGCTAGAGCTGGCTCACCAATGATTCTAATTTAATGCTTAAAAACTAGCCCCATTTCAAACAGTTACTGTGTACAAAGAAAAACTTGAGAGTCAGCAGGACCTTATTCTTATCCTAAGGATTGTCAACACAGGATATCTAGACTGTGACCTCAAGGTCAGCTCGATCAGCAGTTGAGTCCTGACAGCAATCTAAAAAGGAGACTGATCTCAGAGCCGTGTGGCTCATCTCCCAAAATTGTTCCCCCTCTCAGTTATTGGGCAATCATTATCTTAAAATATTAACCAGATGTTTATTCTGCTTCTGTAATATCTCTTAACCACTGCTTGCTCAAAACAGAAGAAAACAAAACATAACATGATAATGCACATAGTAGAAAAACTCTCAGAGCTAAGACAGTTGTGGTTTGTGCTTCTAAAAATGCAAAGGAGGCTGTTTGTCTCAATGCTGCATTGATATACATAAAATAAACTTGTTTTTAATCTTTTTAAATTGAAAAAGTTGGATTGGAGAGATGGTTCAGCCATTAATGTCTAGGCTCACAACCAAAATATAAATTGACTAAGTGTTGTTTGGTGGTCTTCCCCTGAGGGTCTTGAACTCCACAACACTAACAGTCTCTGGATCCGTGATTGGTACCTCATCCTTTGAATTTTCATCAGCTACTCTTGGCTGCTGAACAAAATAATCTTTACCCTAAGCGTACCCAAGTGAGGGAGGAAAAAAAAAAGCATGTACCACATGCTCTGAGGTGAGAAGTTTTCATCCTAGGGCAAGCTAAATCTCTCTTATCTGCATTATTCGATAATTTATGTCTCCTCAGAACTATTGTGCAGGTTTCAAAACCTTTCATAATCTCAACAATGTAGGATTTGGCTCTTTGTCTCCTCTCTCCTAGGAAACATGACTCAACACAAATGTTGCCAAATTTGCCTTTGAGTGAGCCTGACAGACCTGTTTGTTGTGTTGCCTATTTCCACCGGCTTTAATACCATATGAAAAAATACCAATGTTTATGCCTGTGTAAATCAATCAGATAAGCCAAAGTCTCACCTGTTTCTTAAAGTTACCATTTCAGTAAAAGGCTCCGCAAACCACCAGAATCTTCTTTTAGCTGTGCCCCAGATGCAGCCCTGGCTGCCCCAGTGAAGTGGGCATCAGACATCGCCTCTTTATGACCAGTTCTCTTTATTTTCTTCTAGTCCCTGGTTTTTATGTGGAACTCATTCAGAAGTTACTAAGTATTCCTAATGACTCATCAGAGACCGATTTCTCTTTATACTTTTTCGGATTGTGTACTTTTCATCTCAAGGAGGGTTAAGTATCTATATGGCTGTTTCTCTGTTTCTGTGACACTCAGAATGATTCCATCTGATGCCATGTCTCACAGTTGCATGAGTTAGGCCCTGTGAGCCTTTTCCACTGTTTATTTAAATTTCTCCCATTTAAAGCAACTCAGAAGCTGAGTATAGCCTGGTTAGCATGGTTTTTTATTATGTTTTTGACATTAAAACCTCTAAGTAAGCTAGTTTTATGTCAACCTGATATAAGTTAGACTTATTAGGGAAGCATGAACCTCAGTTGACCCCACCTGACTGCCATGCTGGGAAGCCTGTGGGGCATTTTCTTGAGGATAACTAGTGCAGAAGACAGCAGCTCATAGTGAGTGGTGCCATCCTTGAGCTGTTGGTCCTGAGTTCTATAAGAAAGCAGACTGAGCAAGCCATGAGGAGCAAGCCAGTAAGCAGCACTCCTCCATGGTCTCTGCATCAATTCCTGGCTCCAGGTTCCTGCCTTGACTTCCCTCAGTGATGGAACATGGTCTGGGAGTTGTAAGATGAAATGTTGTAAAGGGGTGCAGGCTGCTTTTCGTTCTGCTCTGCTCCTGGCCACCCAGCTAGCTTCTACCCGAAATAATTACACAGAAACTGTATTCATTTAAATACTGCCTAGCCCATTAGTTCTAATCTCTTACTGGCTAACTCCCACATCTTAACTAACCCATTTCTATTCATCTGTGTTTCACCACGAGCTCGTGGCTTACTGGGAAAGATTCAGCATGTCTGATCTGGCAGCTTCATGGCAGGTGGCTTTCTGTCTCTGCCTCCTTTCTCCCAGCATTCTGTTCTGTCTAGTCCGCCTATCTAAGCTGCTGCCCTATCAAACAGCCAAGGCAGTCTCTTTATTTAAACAATGAAAGTAACACATAGAAAGAAGACCGTCCTACACCAAAGAACTAATTCCTTTTTTCCCCAAATTGCTATCTATTGTCTATCGGGACAATAGCAACCAATTTTAAAAAGAAAAAAGCCCTTGTCTACAGGATAAATCATGGATTTCCTCTCCTGGTTTTGTAAAAATCAGACCTAAAAAGTATCTTCTCCCCTACCCTCATTGTTCAATTCTTCTCACAGGTTCCAAGTCTTTGGCCATAAAGAGCTTTTTAGCATAGATCTAATTTACATTCTCTTTCAATTGCATCTTTCAAGTTACAAAACATCCATTTAATTCTTTCCTTTTCCCCACATCATTCCTGTCAAGTCAGAGACTAATGTAATGGATAACAGCCACATATGTTTACCCTGTCCCTCCTTTATTAAGGGCAAACTCAATCTGGAAAGGCATCTGGGCTCAGTTGCATTTCTTATCCACAACAAAGGCCACACAACAGACACCACAGCCTTATTATATCATACCGATTTTGTCACTTAGAGATTGCAATATATTATGCAGTGTATCGACAGTTGGGGGCATTTCTCGTACTTGCATGGTAGACATCATCTATCAAGAGGGCATGTCATTCCATATCGTATAAAGAAAGATGGATATCTTGAGCTTCCCCCAAGGGTGCTTCATTCTCAGATGGCTTGGTTTGGATTGCTTGTATCACCCATTGCAGGAAGCAGGCAGCTGCCACCATAGTGAAGAATGGCACCATCTGTCTTAGGGTCCCTGTTGCTGTGATGAAACAGCATGACCAAAAGCAACTTGAGATGAAAGGATTTATTTTGTTCTTGTTCCATATAACAGCTCATCATCAAGAGCTGTGAGGCAGGAATTCACACAGGGCAGGAACCTAGAGGCAGGAACTGATGCAGAGGCGATGGAGGGATGCTGCTTACTGTCTTACTCCCCATGGCTTGCTTTCATATAGAATCTAGGACCACTAACTCAAGGATGGCATCATCCATAATGGGCTAGACCCTCCCCATCAGTCACTAATTAAGAAACTGCCCTACAGGTTTGCCTACAGTCAGATCTTAGGAGGCATTTTCTCAAATAAGGCTATCTTCTTGAAAACTTTAGTTTGTGTCAAGTTGGCATAAAACTAGCCAGAACGTCATCGCATACCACACAGGGAAAGGTAATTGTCTCAGAACACATTACAGGGGCCATGCTGTCAATAGAACACTGAAAAGCCCAGCGTGGAAGATGAGTCATGGAAGTGTCATCCATGGAGCTCCGTGCACACTTTACAGGCTGCTTGCCAGTCAGAAACTGTCCTGCTAGTATTTGTAATTTATTGCTTTATCATCTTCTGCGAGGCCTTTGAAAAGCCTGCGACTTTGAGGGGTTCCCTGAGTCTTGTAAGTTCCATGTGCTTCCTGAGCCTTGTAAGTTTTGTTTGCTTCCTAAGATTTCGAAGCCTCCTTTATCTTCCAGAGGGCAACATTTCATTTGCAGATTAATAGCTATATAACACTCACCATAAAAAGAATCAAAGACAGGTCTACCCAGAGTCACGTTTTACAATCAAAGCTCTAGGAATACGGGCACGGTCTTCAAGTCCTTCTTCTTTTCCAGCTCCTGGAAGGATTTCCACATGGCAGCTAATTAGGCATCCTTCTCTTTGAGGCTGCAGCATTTCCTCAAATCTCGTAGAACATCAGCAGGATGATAAAAAGTCTCATGACTTAAACTTGGCTATGGTGCTTAGCAGTACTTCAAATCTGGACAAATCAGTTTGAATCCCAATTTCTTCATCTACAAAGTATGATGCAAGATTTGCAATTGCAGCATTGTTATAATAAAAAAATAACATTTCTAAAATACTTGCATATGTACTGACAAGTGTGAGTTCTGGAACTGTAGCTCTTTTAATTTTAGAAAGAATAGAAAGACTCAGGAGTTATACGTTTATAGAAGTTTTATGAAAGAAGCCAGATACAGAAACCTTTTCAAAGAATTCTGGATTAGAAGGGGTTATAAGGAGCTTTCTTGAATCCTAGAAATGTTCTGTGACTAGCCAGTTACAGTGGCTGACAGCATGGGAGTATACATCATAAAAATTTATTAAGTTGTACACTTAAAATATTCAAATTTTACATGTATCTTATGTCACTTATATCTTAGTATGTACAGGTAATGCTTAAATAAAAAGCTGTCCAACTTGACCTGGAGACAGATTTTTTTCTATATCATTTTATTTATTAGAAGAGCATCTAGCTTTAGACATGACGTGCCAACAGCTCACTACCTTGAGAGCTTCTGTTTTCTGCCTTTTGGATGTGGTCCTATTTCAGAGACAGCTTGGAACTGACAAGCATATTGTGAGGGTCACGCTTCATCACCATTGACAGCTGGAGCTGCTGCCACATGCCTTTGGCAGAAAGGCTCAGAGAAAACCAGGCAGTGGCCTGTGCTGTCTGCCCTTAGGCTGCGAGGCACAGCCCTGGAAACAGGAGGATTAAACAGCCTCTCAATTTAAAGAGACAAGGGGGAGGGGAGTGTGGGCTGCAGAGTTTATAAATAGACATTGCTCCAGACTGCCTGATGATGAAGTGGTTGTTTGGTAAATTTTTCTTTTTTAAGGATACCATTATCAGAGACCATTTCAGATACCAGTTTCGTTTAGTGTTCTGAGTGGATTCATCAGATCTTGGGTTATTATTTCTGCCAGTTTTAGGGGCAGGCTTTTAATATTTTGAGTCACATCTCCATGGATCACAGAGATGATGATGATGATGATGTATCTTTTGCCAAATGGATGAGCAGCTTTTGGGGTCACAGCTGGAGAGACAAGGATGAGCGAGGACTCCGGGACCACCACCGACCACATGAAGCCAGCTACAGGAAGGCTTCCCTGCCATGCCCAGTGAGTTATCATAAAGTCAGGGGGAGCCGGAGTGGCAGGGAAGGGGGTTCTCTTAGAGAATATTCGAGGAGTTCTTTGGCTTAAATTAATAATTTCCAAACCTTTATCCATTCTTATAAAAAATTCTTTTTCTGTGTTTGAGTTGCCTTTTAAGAGAACTATCTTTTTAAGTTTTAAGTAACAGTTTCTTCATTTTCAGGAACCTACAGTATCTTGAACTACTGCTCATAGTCCCTGATAAATCAGAAATCATATCCCTGAGTGACAGTGTTTGGGCCGAAGGAGAGGAATTTGTAGTTGTTCTGTACAGGTATTGAAACAGCGAAATTAGATCAGGTATATGACGACCTTTAAGGGACTGGAGATTCCAAACAGCAAATCGCTGCCTTTGACAAATATAATACACGTTTTTCTTTTGGTTTCCATAGCTTTTATGATTAGAGAAGGAACAACTGTCAATCCCTTCCCATAGCAGCTAGAGGCGCCGGGCACAATGCAAGAGGGAAGCGCCTAGGAGCGGGTGGGCAGGCTGGGCCAGGTCAGGACTCCAGCTGGCACAGTGCCTTCTTCAGCTGCTGTGCTGGTGGGCTTCACACACTCGCCGTTCACTTCCCAGGTACACAGCAGTAATAATGCCATTTCTTTTTCACTAGTCACTTAGAATTCCAGCTAGTACAGACAGTTTACGAAAACACCTTCGTTGCCAACCCCAGAATAAAGTAAGCTTGTGGGTAAACCTATTGAAGGTCAGTCCCAGGGCCCCATATCCACAATGAATGTATAATAACGTATGCAAGGAATTACTTTTACTATCATTGGTCAACAGCTTGAGGGATGAGACTTTTCTGAGACACAGACATTTCAAATAATCCCTTCACCACATGAACAGGCAGTGCCGCAGGGTCGGTGAAAGTGCTTCCTCGTTTCCGTTTCTTTAGGTGAAGAATGAAGTGGGGCTGCTTGCAATCTGTGAGATTCAGCCCCAACCATTTCTCTCTTTTAAAATACATGCCAGTATGGTGTGCTCTCGTGCAATCGCAGCAGAATTAAATGTTTCAGACCTAATGAGATCTTCAAAATCTGTGAACCGGGAAGCTTGAGGCTTCCAGGTATGAGGACCAGGCAAAGGCAATAAGAAAAAATCGTGATTGACTGTTTATTGCAATGGCCTCCTGGTGTCACGGGGAGTGTGAAAGAAGAGAAGCCCGCTGCTTTACAAAGTATACAAAATAAACTTGAGTTTCTAATACTTTTAAATACATATCATCTACTTTGTTTAGGAAGTTCATGCTTAGCTTGCAGCATTTGGGGGGTCGAACCATAGATTTACTGTCAACAGCATTTCTCAGGGGTATACACATACTGCATTTTTCTGCTTGTCTCTAACTTGACTGTTTCCTTAATTTAGCCTGGCTAGAGTCTCCAGATAAGCAATCCATTTTGTAATTAACGGATTAACATGATTGTTGGTACTTTAAGAGAAAAAATGTGGAATAACATTTAAAATCTAATTGCCAGAAAAGAGGCTAGGGACAGTGCACAAGTCAGAGGACACAGAGTCGATATGGCCGCAGGTCCAGAAAACAAGCATTCCGGTTCTCTTTCATTTAAATAAATAATGCTGTATATTTGTAAATTAAATCTGTGTTTTATTACCAAAATGTGCTAGGATTTTCCTCATTTTGGAATAACATGGTTTTCACTTTTCTTTTAAAATTAGTTCTCGGAGAATTTCGCACCATGTGTTTTAGCCGTGTTTGCCCTTCTCTCCTCTAACTCCGTCCACATCTGCCCAAGGTTCTCTTCCTACCCCACTCTGTGTCTCTTTCCCCCAGTGAAGATCAGTTTGCAGTCCGTGCTGCTCAAATGTTCTATGCTATTAGAGAAAACCAGCCTCTCTTCCTTCTGCAGCTAAGAATTGCCGGTAGCTACTTGACTAGGGGTGGAATGTCTTGCCCCTGCCCCCAAGCCCGGGTGGGGATTTGGTTTAGCTTGGGCTTTCACAGGTTTCTCTGTGCTGTCACAACCATTGAGTTCACATCTCGGTTTCTCTGCTATGTTTCCTCATAGCCATCCACCACCCCAAGTCTTACATTATCGCCACCCCCTTTCACAGTGACCCCCAGCTTTTGGGATTTATGTTCTATTTAGGCTGGACATTCTGATGTCACTTCTTTCCTGCACTGTGGGCGGTTGTGGGTGGCTGTGCTGATGATCATCTACTGCGATCAGAAGCTTCTCTGTTGAAGGATGCGGATGCGCTAATCTACGGTATAATGACAGGAGCTAATGATGAATAGCAGTAGGTTCTCTTTTAGGGTCTGTGCTCAGTCTAGCGGTTGGTTCCTGACCCAGTAATGGTGCCAGATAAGGGTTTCATCTTGTTGAGTGAGTCTTAAATCCAATCAGAAAGTGGCTGATCACCCTGCGACATTCGTTCCACTATCACGCCAGTGGACATGTCTTCCCAGGTCCGTTGTTACTGCAGCGCACAGAGGGAAACATCTGGATGAGAATAATGGTTATTTTTCTTCCTCAGTAGCATGCCTCCCAGCACTGTGAAAAGAAGCCAGTAGGGGTATAGCTTCTAGGTGAGCACCAGCTTGCTGGCTCCATATTCTACGTCTCAAGGATGTGGTATCCTCAGGAACAGGGTCTGTCAAGTTCTGGACAATAGCGGTTTTCAGTTTTTGTGTTTTGCTTTTTAATCTCATTAATAATGATTAACAAGGATGCATTCTCTCATTCTCTCTTTTCTTTTTACCCACTGCTCTAATCAAAACCTCTTCCCTCTCGAAATTTAAATAATTGATTCACTGTTATTAAATGAACAGGCAGAGTTTCTTCCTTCTCGCCTGTACTGCATGTGTTTTCTAATCCATCTTTCTCGGTCTTATTCACTAACACAGCAACAGAACATTAATTCATTCAACATATTGATCGAACACATATTTTGTTCACAGTATTATGCCAAACATGGGGATTATGAAGTAAAAATAGACATATGATCTCTGATGCTTGTGGAAATGTTAGTCTAGTAGGAAATATAAGCTGACATAAAGAATGAAGTACAAATCAGGGTGAAGTCGGTCCTCATAGAACAATGCTTCTTGTTCAGACCCAATCTGTGATTGCCGATTTAAAGAACTGGAGAACTCTAGCTGTAACTTATAGCTTTGGGTGAAAAGAAAGAAGACAAGATGCAGCCTGTTATTGTACATTCCACCTTCCCTTTCCATCACTACAGGGATACAAAACAGAGGCAAACCTGTTTCCATGTTAACCATTTATTCTGATCATTGTATGAATCCATTTCTGATAGCTTAGTGGATCCGGTTGTCTGCTCATCTTCGCAGCTCACTACAGTTCCTGCAGTCTTATTCTGCATCACCTGAGCCCTGTGTGAGGGGTCTTGTAGTTATGAAACATCATTTAGGGAAGAGACCGAGTGCTGACTGAAAAATCTTCAGTTCGTCTGTGCTCCAGGGTAGACGCCATGTGTGACTGTCCTTGTGACGTCATTTGAAGGGAACAAGCAAGTTTCCACAATCCACATTCAGCATTTTTTTTTCTTCCTTCAGATCCCATTTCTCTATTTTATATTCTTTTAGGATATTTTCAAATTAAAGTAATAAATTCTCAAAATTTTCATCTTTGTCCACTATGCTCCTAAGGGTGGTTACATACTCATTCCTATAGCAGTTCGGGGTACACTGGAACCTGATCCCAAAGGTATCTCTAAAAAGCTGGAAAGAAAAGATATTGTAATATTTTATGATTGGCAGTGAATGGCTTCTCATATTTTATATTATATTCAAATTCAATTTTAATAGGTAGTCATTCTGTAGTTAAAGAGAGGGAACGGCAATAGTAGAACTTTAGCCTAGTGCTCAGTGGCCTTTACTCTCCTCTCTAGGATGAGGGGAAGCTGTTATGCAGGAAAGAGGGTGACAGGTGGAAGGAACTCTTGCTGTTGTCTTCTGCTTCCACTGGTAGCGTGGCTCCAAACAAGGTCCTTAATGTTCTTGCTCAGATTCCCCTAAATGGGCCAGTAGTAGTCATACCTCCATCATGAAGGTACCATGACTTTCAGTGACTAATATACATAAATGCTCAATACAGCACCAGGTACCCAGTAAGTACTCACTATTATCAGAGATCATAAAATAATTGCCAAAGAAAACTGCTAGACTACTGAAAAGAGAAGGAAGAAAACATCCTTACATCGCACAGCAAACCTGAGTTGGTTTAGACGCCATTATCACTGCCCACCTTCTTTACAGGGCTGGAATCCCATTGTATTCCTTCACCCCGGCCCTTCATCTCTTCCTAGGCCCTCTTTACCCCCTAGCCCACCAGCAAGAACCTTTTTTGACAGTGTCCCTACCCAACTGTGGGGTTCATCCTCAGGTGCAAAGCAGTCTGTGTCCCACCCCGGCTCCCTTCCTGAGCCTCTTCAGATTATAACCCAGTCAATGCACATTTACAGAAGTCTCCCTTACTCCCCCATCCAGGTTCCCAGCACTGTGTAATTATAAATAGCTGACCTTATTCTTGCTTCATATGGTCATGTTTAGGTTTTGTTCTTTCCCCTGTATGTTTTGGTCTGATAATGCAACTGAATTATGAATGCCACCCAATACAAAATTGTAGACTTATTTAAAACATTAAAGTATTTATTTCCCAGCATTTTGTTTTGGTAACTTGGTCATGAGATCCCAAGCATGAACTTCAAAGGTGATGTTGTGTTGCAATGTCAAAAAGTTGGACAAGTTTTCCAAAAGAATGTGTGTCATTCAGCCAGAATAGAGTCATATGTCCTATGACAATATAACAATTAACAATATAACAGCTGTATCTGTTGGGTTAGCATTTAAAAACTTATTTAAATAACAGCAACACTAGCAAGAGTACAAGACCCAGCATCTTGTACATAGGACTGTCAATGTGTAGAGCATTTCCTGAAAGCCTTGAGATCTGTGTGTGAACAAGCTGCTTAG